GGAGCAGACAGCATTATACATGCTGCCCAGCATGTCGGCAAAGCCGAAGCTTTTGAAAGAAATTGATGGACGTGGATGGTTTAACAGGAGGTCACGTGCAATGAAGAATAGAGAAAAGCGTGACCAGAGAAGGAAAAAAAAGAAATGTATAAGTTAGTATAATACGAGAAGAGAAGAGAAGAAAAACACGTCTGAACTACACTTGTGAAACATAGCGAATGAGAATTTAACTAATTATATAGATATACGAGATAATAAAACGGATATAATATATCGAATGAATGATATTGAATGGAATACACAGCGAAATCGACGATTTTATATATTTAGTAGTCAGTTGAATGAATGAAATTTTAGTGACAGTTTTTTCTGATATTTAATTTTAGTTCTAGTATGTTTATTTATATTTTTGATATTTCTTCGTACTGTTTTCAGTCGACTTATATGTTTAAATGCTGGACGAGTGCTTCATAACAGGCAAGTTCTTATCAACTTTAATCTTCTTTTTTTTTTCTTATTTTTAGAATGTTTATACGGCTTATTCGATGTCCTATATCATTTTTTGATACAAATCCAGTTGGTATATAATTGATTTATTCTCTAATTGATAAAAATATGTATTCAGTCCTAGATAAAAGTATCTTTCATCCCATAATACAAAATCAAGACCTTAGTAAAACTCTGAAATTATTGTAATCTACAAAAATATCTAGTAGAATTCATTATGGTCTTATCCAACGAGTAGTAATCTATTACCAATAGCTAGATGATTGTTAAATAATATATTTCATTCTTTAACTATGATAAATTTAAGTTAGAACGATAGAAAGGTATAGAATTGAACATCATAAATTCTGATTTCTCTTCAATACTTATTTATAGGTCGAATATTGAATCGTTTTACAAGTGATGTTGCTACAATGGACGATTCTTTACCAATGACTGTATTTGAATTTCTTGCAGTAAATATTATTTGTTTATAATCTATTAAATATGATCTTGTTTTATTTAGTGTTTATCTCAAATTTTAGGTACAATTATTCTAGTTGGTTTAATCAATTTATGGTCATTCATTCCAGCAATTATTGCTTCAAGTGGCACGCTCTTTTTGAGATATCGATTTGCTTCATGTTCTCGTGATTTAAAACGACTTGTAGGAACTACACGAAGTCCTGTTTATTCACAATTAACATCAACTATTCATGGACTAAAAGTTATTCGATCATATCATGCTGAAAATATTTCTTCTAAAGAATTTCATTCACATCTTGATAATAATACACGAGTTATCTATTTGATGGCAATCTTGAATAGATGGTCAGCGATGCGTTTTGATTGGATATCTCTAATATTCATTGCTTTAGTTATTATACTTGCTATAATTCTTCGTATGAGTCAACATCACTTTTCAACTGCAGAAATCGCTCTCACATTTACCTATAGTATCAGTTTAATGGGCCTTTTTCAATGGACTATTAGGTTGGGTGTGGGCGTGGGTGTAGATGTGGGTGGGCGTGGAATGGGTGTGGGTGTGTGGGGTGGGTGGGTATGGGTGTTGATGTAGGTGTGGATGTTGATGTAGCTGTGTGGGGGTGTGGATGTGCATCTGAGCCTTCTTCTCACCCATACCCACATCGGCCACTCACATTCACAACCAGTGAGGAGTAAAGGTTTAGGAGAACAATGTCTACATCTGCCATAACATCCCCACTCATGCCCACCTATACCTACAGCTACACCAGTACCGCATTAAGAATCAATTATTGTCTATCAAGTAGGTACAAACATCTAAAATTTTATGGTTTGTTAGCATTCTTTTTTGTCTGTGCTAGAAGCTAACACTTTTATTGGGGTTCTTACCAATGAAATCAATCATACGAATGGTTTATGATATCAGGAAGATCGCTGTGAGTTTGAGTGTTTTATTAACCTATACCCCCACAAGCATACTCGACAGATCAAACCAAAATGAGCACTGTTTCCGATTTTTCAGATTCATGTAGGGTAGAGAATGTCCGCACTAAAATATACTCTCAAACTTTGCTAGTGTGTAAAGCATACTTCTAGTGTCATGTAGGGTGTGGGTGTGGCCACTGAATAGAAAAGTTACACCCACACCCAAACACACATTCACATCCTCGCACACACACGCACACCCATATCCACAGCCACAGCCACACCCCACCGCACCGACACCCACACCCTACACCAAGGGGGAAATAACTGACTTTTATGACTTTACAGTCATTTAGGTCACTTAGATCATTGACATCATTTAGATCGCGAAAGGCATTCAAAGTCATCAATAACTCAGACTATTTGAAAGAGAATGTTAGTCAATATTTATCTAGAATTTGTTCACATGTTAACATATCAATATACGCTTCGAGGATGGTAAAAAACAATGATTTTACCAAAATACGCACAGAATATAACTATTGCCCATTTAAAAACAAAGACGGGTGGGTATTTTTCGAATAACGTTTGATAGAAGCAAGGTAGTGAGTTGCGGTTTTCACTATTAGAAAGAGAAGATCCAGACGCATCAATATATGCTAAAATCTGAGCGATCAGCAATTGGCAGATCGGATGCATTTTCGAGGGATGGGTGTGGGTTGTGTGAGTGTGTGCAAGTGTGGGGTGTGGGTGTGGGTGTGGGTGTGCATGTGTTGAAGAGAACACCCACACCCACATGCCGACACCCACCCACACCCACATCACTGTAGGATCGCTGTTTCTAGGCAAGTTGTAAAAGACTATCGATTTTTCCAAGAA